GAATCTAGGTCACACATATGTCATTCTTTAAGCACTCCCTCTCTGCCCTGTTTTGCTTTGTGACCTCTTCCACACTGGTAATTCCAGCGATGTCTTCCATAACAATGTGAACATTCTTAAGCTCTTTTTAGTTTGGTAGAGGAAGTCTAACCAAGGCAAACGGTAAACATGAGCTAAAATAGCAAACTGACTGTGAAATTTGAAATTTGCCCTGGGATAAAGAGAAGATATTGAGGACAAATAAGCAGGAGAGTCATATGATCAAGTGTGTATTTGTATAAGCTTATTCTGGATGCTGAATAGAGTATGAGCTGAAGGAAGGTGGATTACACGAAGGTGTAGTCGCTGGGAGACACTTGTGTTAGATTTGATGAGCATGCATAGAACAGGGATAAACACGTCACAGTGACCACAACAGTGTGCAGCTGTGTGGGCTTTGTTCAGTGGGAAAATCCTAAATATAGCGAACAGGAATGTTGGGCATAGATGTAAATATTGACTGGTGGGTGTTATGTGTCTGACCTTAACTAGAAGAATGCTCCGGAAAGAGAAGCAAGTTGAGAAGAGGGAGAGAATTTGGCTTCTCTATGCTTCTTTAAAGCACCTGTTAGGCTGAAATCAGGGAGATTTTGTGTACCTTTCTTTGTCTTTGCTCTCAAGAGAAATAGTGTGTATCAGATGTCAGTCTTTTCCATTCCTCTCCCAATTCTGCTCTAATAGACTGACTTGCAGCCAATCTTCTATTTATTGTAAATACTCTACTTCTCTGCGGAAAAACATAAATATACCAAAAAGTAAACCAAGGGTCCATGGAGCCAGAACTAACTTGAAAACTTCCTGCCATTCTGTAAAAATCGCTACACCTTTATGTAACGGTTATGAATTTCATATGGAAAATGCTTTTCAAACCATTTGAAAGTGAGGCACCTCCTTCCTCTCCACACTTAAAGGATTTCACAGATAACCAGTTTAGTTCACAGCAGGCTACTGACTCAGCCAGGCCCTGAACAAAGAGAATGCAATCAGAGAACTAGAGAAAATAGTCTGCAAAAATCAGTTTAAAGATACTGTATACATTAGCCATCATGATCTGGATCTGTTCTTTTAATCCCCTCTGTATACGATATAATATTTACATGGGATATAGATTAATATACCTAAAATTACAAAAGGAGAAACACAATTGGCCTTAATAGAGTAAAGATTATAAATGGAACAAACATCAAAAAGAACCAAATTTTACATATTTTTATCAAGATTGACTGTACAGTTTCTCCTGTATATATAGTTTTTGCATTCACTGAACCAGCTTACTAATACTTAAATGATCAGAAATGTGACTTTTCAAGAAGCCGCTGCATGAGAAATTGCTTCCTTAATGGTGTTTACCAGTTATTCCCTTTTCCTGAAAACTGGGGTATTCCCCACATCTCAGTTCCATCTATATCAGATCCCGGGACAAAGCTGAAGCCTTCCCAGCCATGAGCTACCTTATAATATTTAATAAATAATGTATGGTCCCTACATACACAGAATGTAATGCTTAGCCAACAGTGGGAATGAAAACTCCTGAGAAAAAGCTGTGCCTGTTGAGCCTGGCTGGTTGCTTAGACCTTCAGTAACATGAAGTGTTGTAGGAGGTCACTTGTTTGTTTCCTGTTGCTCAGCCCCAAAATAATAACACAGAAATCATATTTTTGCAATATTGTTTGGCCAATAGTGTATTTCTGGCTAACTCATATCTTAAATTAACCCATCTCTATTAATCTGTGTATTGCCATGAGATTGTGTCTTACTGGGTAAAGGTTCCAGTGTCTGTCTCTGGCAGGGCTACATGGCTTCTCTCTCACTCTATCCTTCTTTCTCCCAGCATTCAGTTTAGTTTTCCCCACCTAGCTCTGTTCTGCTCTAGCAGGCTGACCCAGTTTCTTTACTAACCAATGATATTCATAGCATACAGAGGGGAATCCCATATCAACAGAGAGATTGCATGTTGCAGATTCAAGAGGTTGGTACCTGGGGCTAGCTCTCACCTTCTGCAACAGACATTCCTTGCCCACTTCTGTGTCTGAACTAACATCCTAAAAATAATGATAGATTTAAAAAAAAACTTTTAAAATCTATTTACTTAGCAGACAGATAGCTTCCATCTATCTAAAAGCAAAGAATAACATTAGATAACATCTTGGACCTATAAAAAAAAAAGCTTGCCTCATTTTGCTATAATCATCTTTCTGATCTCATCAATGTATGTTAAACTTGCCTTCATTTAGCCCTATCTTTTTTCTATAAAATTATAAAACTTCATGGAATCAATTTCACATTGAAACACAGAATCTGGTGTAACCTTCGTTTATATTTCCAGGCCCTGGTCACTCAACATTGCTCTAGAATAAACTATTCCTCATTGCCTTAAAAAAACAAAAACAGGTTCTGTAGAGGCAAATGTGCTGTTTGTAGCTTGAGGCTAGAAATCATCTGTCAAGATGAATCATTTTCTTGATTCAGGAAGCTGAACAAAAGAAAAAAAACATATCCATCAAAGATGAATTATGCATTTACAAATACACCATAATTAGGAGAAGAATGACGTTGGAATTGAAAAGTGACTCAAAAATCTGCAAATCCATTTTTCCAACTCTAAGTGCTGCAGAGCCCTTCCGATGAGCAATAGTCACTAAGTTCGCTTTTAAATTCGGGGACACTCTACAGCAAATTACAATTATGTATTGTTAAAGTTTAAAGGCATTTTTTTTCTCTATACCAGCAGATTATTCATGCTAACTACTTCGGCCTTTGGCCAGTCCCTATTCAACTGAAAACTACGTAGTAATCGTATTTTATTTAAATGAAATCAATTCTTATACATGCATGGCGGACACTGTGATATTTTGGTGTATGCACTGTGCTGGATGGTTTTATGTCAACTTGATACAAGCTGAAGTCATGTGAGAGGAAGGAAACAAAACTCAGAAAATGCCTCCATCAGATCAGGTAGTAGACAAGCCTGTAATTTTCTCGATTAATGATTGAGATGGGAGGCTTCAGCCTTGGTGGGTGGTGCCATCTTTGAGATGGTCATCCCGGGTTCTATAAGAAAGCAGAGTGAGTAAAGCATTTAGCAGCACTCTTCATGGCCTCTGCATCAACCTCTGTGCCCAAGTTCCTTCATTTTTGAGTTCCTTCCTTGACTTCCTTTGATGATGAACAGTGGTGTGGAAGTAAAGCCAAATGGAGCCTGTCTTCCCCATCTTGCTTTTGGTCATGCTTTTTTAATCACAGCAAGTGTAACCCTAACTAAGACATGCACATATGGTGCATATTGGCATGGTGATACCAAACTAATTGCAAATCTATCACCTGACTCTCCTATCATTTGCTAAATGTGACATTTCAAATGTATTCTTCCATAGTTTACAACATAAAACATATTTTTTAAATTGTCCATCTGCCTGTTCTCTTCCACATAATTTATTTTAAAATTAATAAAGCAGATACAGAGAGAGAACTAGAATATAATCACATAACTATGCAGGACCCAATAATGTTGAGTACACAGAGCCATACCTAGGGTGACTTGCCCCTGAGGCTAGAGATGGGGAGGTGTTGATCACTTGGTTCCACACTGATTATAAAGCTCTTAACTTGTTGCTTTTAATTATTTTCAGTCCTCTAAAATTACATAAACAGACTACTCTAAATTGTATCAAAAGCCTACTCTGAGTAAATTAAGGTTTTGTCATAACAGTTTGTTTACATGTGGCGTTATGCTCACACAGAAGTCTATGCTTGTGTTTTGGAATGTTGGTATCTCATCAGATTAATATTAAATGAGAATCTTACAGATGTCTGTGTCAGCTTGTGTACAACTGTTTGTCCTGTGTCTTTTCTGTTGTTAATCACCTCTCACCTAAGAAATCAGTAATTAAAAGAATCATAACTTTTCTTTGACAGTAGAAATTGTGTATTTACCTGACATCAGATGGCATCCCTATTTATGATAATTATATATAATTGCATCTTCCAAAATAAAGAAAATCACAAACAAAGCAATCAGCAGCTTTTGTTACATCCCCGTGAGAGTATGACCCTTCTCTTTCTGTTTCAACCTGTTGGAAAAGCTAATTGATTCCATTTTGACCAAATCATTACTAATTTAACTTTGTACATGAACATCTTGCTAATATTCTAGATTGTAGCTTTTACTTCAGATATGGACACATGAATTTATTTGTTCATTCACTCATTTATTCTTTACTTACTCAACTCCTGCTTCTTGCCAGAAAGGATTCAGAGAAATGTCATTAATTACATATGATAATTTGTTTTAGGTTCATATCACTGATCCATCTTTTGTTCAAAATATTTCTTCACTGATCTCCTAAGAAACACAATACTTTTATTATAAAATTTATTTTATTATAAATTTATATTATTATAAATATTGTATTGATTCCATACCTGTAAAGCAAAAGCCTATCTAGATCTTAAATATATATTAGAAATTCACATTATCATGGCTTTGTTATGGTGGATGGAGAGTCCCTACTGTACTGTTTTTTTTTTATCTGTGTGCAGCAGCATATGCTTGCTCATGCATTCACATCTCACAACACACACAGACCACACACACACATGCACACGCACACATATGCACACTCATGCAAAATGAGTTTTAAACATTAAAATAAATGCATTAGTCAATGTCTTTTACTGTTGTTTGCCTACATTGGCATTGTTTCTATTTTTGTCATTGATTTCAAGAATAATAAAAACTACATATCATACAATAAAATCATATACGTTATTGATAAGTCATTCTTCAAAAGTCGGGGAATTCTAGTTTATTTTTGATTTCACTTTAGATGCTATTTATTTCTCTTGTTAGCCTTTGTTAGAAGTTATTTGATATTCTTGGCTATGGATGTTATAATTTAGCTCTGGCTTCATGCTGAAGTCAGCACCAACACTTCTGATGGTCTCCTCTTGTCTCTCCTTAGCCATCCCAAGCTCCAGTATCCTTCCTTCTGCTCCCAGAGATGTGGTCCCTGTCTTGGTTTCTAGTCGCTTTGTCCGTCTGAGTTGGCGTCCACCTGCAGAAACAAAAGGAAACATTCAAACTTTCTCAGTCTTTTTCTCCAGAGAGGGTGACAACAGGTAGGTACTATCCTTAAACTTCAGCTTCTTTCCCCAACACTTTCAATGTCCATGGGAGGAGCCAGTGTTGGGAGATCTTGAAGAGGAGCTGGAAAAAAAGTGTGAACTCTTTACACCATTTTTCATCCAGACTGAGTGAATATGTATGCTTTGTCAAAACAGGCTAACTTAACAAATTAATCAAAATCACTTACATAACGTACCTGGCAAAAAGCAAGAATGCAAATGATTCTTTGATTTTTTTTTTCTTTGATTTTTACACTGATATAGAAAAGAATTATCTGGATGCTGGAAGAACAAAGCATTAAGAGCCACTGTGACTAGTCACTGACATCAAATGATCCGAAGAAAACAATGATCTTCTGACTATTAACAAAGGAGAAATAATAATTAGCTTGCAAGGTTTCTGTTAGGAATAAATTAAGATCACACATATAAAGTTCCTAGCAGAGAGTGCGTTGTTCCATACAAGTTGTTTGGTGACTAGCATAATTGCCTAGGTAAGAATGAGCTGTGCTTTCCAAGTCGCAGCTCTCAGCTCATGTGTTTGATTTTCCAAAGCATTTTACCCACAGAATATTTCAAGATGATTTTGAAATGTGACTCCTCAGTTTTGACACAATACTGAGTAAGTTTGAGGCTAGAAACAGAGATTCATTTACTGGTACTCTAGTTTCTCACGTGTAGAGTTTCAGTGAGGTGGGGATCTTTAGGCACACCCCAGGACCCTCTGGACAGTTTGATTATCAGGAGATTGTTAAAGGTCTTTTAGAATTACAACTGAAGAAATCCATTCATTCTGCTTATCAAATGTTTTTGGTTTTGTTTGTTAACGTAATTAAATCATATCTTTTACAGTTTTTTGTTTGCTTTTGACGTTTGACATGACTCTAAACTGAAAGGGGAAACCTACATACACAGGGCCTGTGTTTCCTAAGACTACTCATTGGCCTTTCCTGTGCAGTAATTGTCTCTCTGACTCCACAATGTCATGGGAGAATTTGGGTCTGGGTGTGTACATTTATGAAAACTGGAGGCAATAATTTTACACAGTTATTTTCATGAGTTTCTATGGGCTTCCTGAAGATGATTTAATTTCATCATTCCCAAACCATGCTGATTTGTCTTCTCAAATACTATTTCTCTTTTTTTTTCTGCATTTGTACTAATATCTTTTATTCAATTACTCAAGAAAGAAACCCCCAAGTTCCACTCTCTCCTCCCTGCTTCTCAACACTGTTCATTATCAGGTCTTATGTGTCTATCTCAACCCAAGCAATTCATGCCTCTTTTATTCTGTCAGTCACTTCATTAACATTTACTCCGTTTCTTCGACTAGTTCTGCTGCTTCTAATAGTCCTCTCACTGCATAGAGTTAGCATAATGAAATACAGGTTGGATTACCCACTCCTCTGTTGAAAATGTGAAGAGTCATGTATTTAAATGCATTTAAATACTAAGTGTAAAGAGAGAGAGAGTAAAAACTTTAGAAAATTTCTAACTAGAGAACCCCAACCATAAACTTTTTATAAGGAGTTTTTAAAACATAGCATACAATGGATACAAATAATCACTCAAAATCATATGGTTAGATTTGAAAATAGCACTGCAATTTATCAGTTGTGTGATTTTTTTGTGTGTTTAATTTTTATAAATGATAGACAAACAGCAAACCCCTTAGAATAGATAAAAGTAGTTACTCCTCAAGACTACTAAGAGAAATATGTGAAGGATTTCTTACAGATCAGTCACTGTCTGCAAGTAGAATGAAAACAGCAACCTCAGAGAGAATTTGAAAGAGGGGCTTAAACTAATTATCTGTAGATAAAGGGAGGGAGGTAAACAGGAAGAGGAAGAAAGGAACAAGAAAGGCAGGAAGTAAGGAATGGAGAGAATGAGGAGCCACAAAGCTGAGTTTGCGGCTATTACAATTTGAGTTGATCATTTATTTCACAATTGTTTGCAAGTCTTTGCCTTTAACACCATTTGACCAGGTCCTCTCCTGTCAAAATTTCCTACCTTGAATCCTGTTCTCTGCATCTTCTCACTACTCCCTCCTGTAGGGGCACCCTAAGCCTTGCCGAGTAGCATCTCTATTATAACTTTCTCAAGCATCACCTAAGCCTTGTCATGTGGTATCTCTATTACTTGACTCGCTCTCCAAAGTCATATCTCCCCACCTTCTAGTTAACTGCTTTCTTGCATCAGACATTTGATTTCATAGGGATCTACAATCTGCTGGTCCTGGTGTGACTTCTCCGCCCTACAACATTCTTTCCCTTCGTTTATTAGATAATTAAAATTTCATGGATAACTACTGAGAGCACATGCTAATACGTACCAGTGTTTGGCTTTCTATGTTCCTACTTCAAATTACTAGAAACTAAGGCTCTTAAAATCATTGTGTCCCCTCATTTATGTAGCTCCGTAAGATCTGAAGAAAGAGGTTTGATGAAGATATCCAATTTAGGACTCAGAGTCCCAACTCACTCTTAACACATAGTTCAGTTATGGGTCTCTGAATTTCTCTGATGATGTCCAAGGGTGACCAGAGGTAATTAGGAGTAATTTCATTGTTATGCTCCTTAAACAGAATGCTATGTAATGATCTTTTGTTAGATTTCCTTTGTACTTTAATAAATAAGGCTTGCCTAAAGATCGGAGTGTAGACCAGACAGTGGTGACACACATCTTTAATCCCAATAGTCACACTATTTTGCCATAGAAGCCAGATGATAGTGGTACGTGCCTTTAATCCTAGCCCTAGAGAAGAATATAATATGGGAGGAGACAGCTCTCAGACATAGTCTCATTCTGAAGATTCCTGGGGGCAGAATCACCATTTTGAAGTAAAGGTAAGAGCCAGGGCTGTCTGATCTGCTTTTCTGACCTTCAATATCAGTCTCTGGGATTTTATTAATCATGATACAATGCTTTCCTAGGTCCATGGCCTATCTAGTCTCGAGATACCCAAGTCAGTGTCATTGAAGGATCTATCATATGGTGTGGTATTTAAATCCAATCAGATAGTTGTGGGGTATTCCCTCATTTATGACATAATTTTACCAGTATATTATGGAGACAGATCACCAACATAGATTGAAGTTGTTGTAACATGGTTGGTGTTTACTTTTCTTCTCTAGGAATGCAAAATACCTTCCAGAAAAACGAACACTAGTCAGTAGGGAAGAGGACTTTTAGTTAGGTACCTGCTCAACTTCTCTGCATTCAGTGGAATATATTGGCCTTGTCTTCACCAATAGGGCCTTACCATCAGTTTCTGAAAAGCAAACAGTAACCTTGGCAAAAAGTTTGAGTTGTTTGGGGGTTTTCATGGTCCTCTTTGCCAACAACACAATTAGATGAAACCAATTCATGAGTCTGGAGCACTCGGTGGATAGAGATTTGGGGGGGGGGGGCTTTATCTCCCTCCATTTTGAGCTCTTTCCTCTGTGTATAAATTTAAAAAATTTCCAACTTTAGTAGGTTTCCATAGAAACCCTCAAATGGCAATTAGTTTTAGCTGTCTAAAATGGGATAACCTTCTGAATGCTGTGAATATGTCATATTACCATTAAAAAGCTGATTTGACCAATAGCCAGGTAGAATACAGCTAGGCAGGAAATCCAAGCTGAGAAACAGGGAAAAAGAAGACAGAGTCAGGGAGATGCCAGCAGCAATCAGGGAAACAAGATGTGAGGTAATAAGCCACAAGCCTCGTAGTAAAATATAGTGTAACAGAAATGGGTTAAATTAAGTTGTCTGGTATGGATTGCTTCAGAAGGTCAGTTGGTGGCAGAGAGGAATAGAGGTGGATTAAAAGAAAAAATTTGGAGACTCTTCGGGGACAGAGTTAAGCATCTTCATACTTAAAGGTGGAATGCACCTGGAGTTCAAGAGGTGGAGGAAGAGGGGATTCTTCAAGTATGTATCACTAACACAAAAAATATCTTGGAATAACCTATCCTTTTAAATTAGACCGAAATTAACCCTGTATACAAGACTGTGTCCATTCTTACAATATAAGTGAAATATATTCTATCGCACATTAGTTTATCCTATTCAAGGTGATCATGTTTATAAGTACATATGCACAGAGTTGTCTTTCCCATTGTGACAAATTCCTCTTTCGTCCTCCTCTCTCTCTTCCACACCTTGCTTCCTAATCCCTTTCATAATAGTTTACTAAGTTGCTCAACTTCACTCCCATGTCTCACACTATCGTCTAAGCATAATCTTGTACCTTGTTTCTTATTGCAGTTCCTTTTTATCATTGCTCTCCAAAGACCTGTATGCAGCTAAGAGCAGTGAATTTATGTTACGCATATCACCTGACCTTCAAATAGTTTTGTCACATTCGATTACCCCCGCTTTTTTATCACTCACCTTTCGTGTGTGTGTGTGTGTGACATGCTGCTCTGTGTTATGTTGTGTGTGTGTGTGACATGCTGCTCTGTGTTATGTTGTGTGTGTGTGTGACATGCTGCTCTGTGTTATGTTGTGTGTGTGACATGCTGCTCTGTGTTATGTTGTGTGTGTGTGACATGCTGCTCTGTGTTATGTTGTGTGTGTGTGTGTGACATGCTGCTCTGTGTTATGTTGTGTGTGTGTGTGTGTGTGTGTGACATGCTGCTCTGTGTTATGTTGCTTTTGTAGTCATCATTGCCACGCTCTTTTTTTGGTTTCCATTCCCGGGTTCCCTAGTTTTCAAATATTGAGTTGCCCCAGGACTCATCCTTGGGATCTTCTTGCTCATGTCTTGTCATTAACCTCTATGGACCAGTTACTCTCTTAAAAATTTCTCGCTCTAAATTTAACATTTACCTGTGATTTAGATACATTTATCAAACTTCTCACATGAAACCAATCATTAGTATCTTTTGAACAAAACCTGCTTTGTTCTAAATACTTGTTTCATGCTTTAAAATCAAGAATAGTTATGATGTTGTTTCCAGCTTAGTGCTAGAAACTAAGAGGTTTATAATGTTTTAGCAGTGTTT